AGCAGTGCCAGGCTGAGAGACCCTGCTCCACACTGTAGACAGGATGATGCTAAAGGTGGACACTTAGAGGCTCAGAGCAAAGGGCTCGGCTGCTTCTGCCCCATCATGACGGGTGTATTCATCACCTTCCTCTTGCAGCTGCCTGACTCAGATCCCCAGGAGGTCAGGCATCTGTGCCTCAGGTTGGCCCTCAGGCAGGGTCTGGGCACTGCCTGAGAGGACACTGGTGTCCAGGGTGTACAGTTGGGCAGGGAGGCTACACAGTGGCCACACAGACTGCTTAAGAAGGAAAGACAAGAAACCACAAGCACAGGCCTGTCCCTCAAGATCAATTTCTTTCAGAAATTCCTGCTTTCATATCTATTTTCTCTAACAAAATGTGAACCCCGGTCTTTCCTAAGGGGTAGAGGAAAAGATGAGCATAGATGGTGGAAGCTTGCGAATAATCCCAGGGCTGACACTCTGATTTGCTTCCCTTGCCCGTTCTTGCTGCAAAGATGGTTTTTTGTTGAGAAAACAAAATGAGCTGACAGTGACGCTGAGCTTGCCTCCCACTCTGCCACTTGTTGGTTTGTAGTTGTTCAACTTCTCTGGGCCTCACTTTCTGCTCTTACAGAGTGGGGTCAATAACAGCACTCCAGGATTCACAAAGCCTCACTGAGTGTTGAGCCCCCCATGCAGTGCTTCGGGCAGAAGGGCCCTGAGACGTGGGGGTATGACTTTCCCTTCTGCACAGGGTGACCCACCAAAGACTGCTTTACATTCCCACCTGAAACAGTGACAGGGAAAAAGAAAAAAAAAAGTAGGGAAAGGACAAAATGCTTTCAAGGTACCAGGCATGTGGAGGGCTTGGCCCCAGGAGAAGGGCAGGCAAGAAGAGGTATGTGTGCCTCAGTACTGAGGCAAATGCGTTCCCAGGCAGGGGTTCAGGAAGGGGAGCTCCAGGTAGAGCACACTGGACTCCAGCTGAGTATACAGAAATGAATCTCTGGAGACCAGAGCCCTAGAGTTTGCAAGGCATGATGCTCAGGAGGAAGGAGGTGCAGAGAGAAATTCTGGCTAGAGAAAGAACCACCAGAAAGGATGAGAGGTTTAGAAAGGGTTAAACAGAGCCCTACCCAGTGTAGGGCAGAAATAGTACTTGCTCCTGGCTGCCAGGCTGGAAGATGGCATGGCTCATGGGATTGGAGAGAACATGTGGAAGGCATCTCTCTCAGGAGTGGGAATAGTGAGCCCTATCTGAGCGCCCGGATGCTCCAAGGAGTCTTATAAGAAACATCTGTCAGGAGTAAAACTGTTTCCAAGAACCTAACATCATCTTAGAAAAAAAAAGACTGAGAATATTTGAAGGAATATGAAAATACCCAGCCATTTAAAAACCACAAGGTCTGGCACTGAATAACGAATATCAGAAATACAAAGACACAGAAAAATATGGCTCATGTTGAGGATAGAAATGAAGCAACAGAGTGACTGAAATCAACCCAGAAATGACACAGGTTTTAGAATTAGCAGATGAAGTCATTAAAACAGTTTTTATAACAATACTTCATCTGTCCAAGAAGAAGATCTGTGAAAGATACAGACACACGTGTATCACACACATACATTTCAGGCCCAAATCAAATTTCTAGAGATCAAACCTGTAATGTATGATGTGAAAAATACTCTTTTTGGGATTAATATCAGAGTTGACAGGAAGATGAGAGGACTGCTGAACTGGAAGATAGAGGAACATAGATGACCTGTCTTCACTTCCTGCTGGTCCACACAAATGACTGCCAACTAGTGGCTTAGCACAGGTTCATCTCAGGGCTCTGAAGTGAAGTCAGACACGGGTTCTCTGGGCACCACGAGGCTCGGTTTCTTCCTGATGGCTCTCAGAAGAATACTTTGCCTCCAACTCTCCAGCTTCTAAAAGCTGCCCATCTTCTGCAGCTCTGCCCTACCTGCCTCCTTCCCCTTCAAGGACATAAGGGACAGGTTATGTGCTTGTCACATTGTGTTGTTCTCCCGTTCCACAAACACATCACTTGAATTCCTCTTCTGCCTCCCTCTTCCACTTTTTTTTTTTTTTAACTTGGAATTGAATACCAGATCTGTGCAATAAGATGCATCCCTAGTATTTTTTTATTTTTTAATTTTAAACCAAGTGTTGCTAAATTGCTTAGAGCAGCAGAGTATGGACCATATAAGTGAAAGTAATCATAGTGTATTTTGGGACACATAAGGGTGTGTAACAGCAACAGGGTAACATTCCCCCAAAATAGGCTGCAGTAGGGGAAGATGCATATTTCAAACCCTAAAGCAGTTACTCTAGCATGGCCAGAGAGAGACAGAGACAGAGAAGGAGGGAGGGAAGGAGAGAGGGGTGCAGGGAGGAAAGGGGAGAAAGGGGGGGGGAGAGAGAGAGAGAGAGAGAGAGAGAGAGAGAGAGAGAGAGAGAGAGAGATCACAAAATAACTCAAGGAAAAGAAGGAAAGGATAGGTGGAGCCAGTGACAAATACAAGACAGACCTAAGCCCAAGCATGCCAATAATCACATTATAAATAAAGCTTATCAGATTGGATCAAAAGCAAACCCAACCTTATGCCTGACAAGAAATGCACTTACAGTATAAAAACATGAATATGTTAAAAGTAAAAGGATGGGGGAAGGTGCGCCATCCTGACCCTCACCAGAAGGCGGGAGTGACTCTAGCAAAGGTTTCCAAACAAAGGCTGTTACCCCACGTAAAGAAGCCAGTTCATAATCATAAAGGGGTTTCGCCCACGTAACACTTCTGCACACTTAGACTCCTAGTGGCATTTTCCAGCTACATGAGGCAAAACCTGACAGAAATGCAAAGAAGCATAAATGAACCTGTAATTTTAATTGGGGATTTTAATATCCTCTGCCTAGAACAAGTAGGCAGAAAATCAATAAGGGTATTGAAGATTTGAACAAGATGGTCTGACTGGGCTTACGGGACATGGGGCCTCCCACGCCCACAGCCACACGACTTCCCGGCGTGCAAGTGCAGCTGTGAAGACAGGCCACATGCTGGACCAAGACCAAGTTCTGAAAAGGATTCCAGCCCTATGTCCTCTTATCACAATGGACTTAAATAAGAAACCAGTAACAGGAAAATTTCTGAAAAGTCCCCCCAGATCTGGAAACTACATATTTGTGAGTAACCTATGGGTCAAAGAAAAATTCAAAGGGAAACGAGAAGATACTTTGAAATGAATTAAAATGAAAGCATACCATCCTGAAATGTGGGGGCTATGCCTAAGGTGGCATTTGGGGGGCTGACTACAGCACTAAACCCTGTGATAAACAAAAACTAGAGCACCCAATTAACCCAGAGTAAGCAGAGGAAAATAAGTAACAAGGATCAGAATGGAAATCCATGAAACAGAACACAGAGTGGCCAGCTACAGGGCACAGGCTGGCTACCTGTTTTGTAAATGAAATTTACAACAACAAAAATAAGATATTTTCTTTTCTTTGACAAATGGCCTGAGGCTGCTTTAGCTTCTTTCTTTTTTCTTTCTTTCTTTCTTTCTTTCTTTCTTTCTTTCTTTCTTTCTTTCTTTCTTTCTTTCTTCCTTTCTCTCTTTCTTTCTTCTTTCTTTCTTTCTTTCTTTCTTTCGATAAAGTAGAGAAATTGTGATAGAGATTACGTGGCCTAAAAACTTAAGATATTTACCATGTGCCCTTTATAATATGTTTACTAATAAAAGACAAAGTGAGGAAAACAAAAGCCTCACTTTTTGATCAATAAAAATAATAAACACCCAGCAAGACTAACGCCACCACCAGGAAACTCCAGGCCTAAGCAGCTACACTGGTCAACTCTACCAGATGCTTTAGGAAGAAATAGAAACCCTGTGCAACTCTGAAAAAATGGAAAAGGAATGAATCCTGCACCACTTACTCTGTGAGGCCACATCCGCCCCACTCTCGCCGGCCTCCCAGCTCACTCAGGGCTACAATCCGGGCTCCACCCTGCAGGAAGCTCCTCGGTGTCTCCAGTCCTGGGCAGCCTGGCCCCACCCAGCTGTCACCCACCCCTTGTGGGTGAGTGGCTGAGAGCTCAGAGCCAGGACCTAGAAGCCCGGGTCTCTCCAGCAAGCACTGCATTAGTCTGTGCCTCTGGATCCTGGCCTGTAGACCCCAGGTGGTGGGCTGGGGGTGGAGCACAGTGTGGAGTCTGCTGTGCCCAGGAAGCACAGGTTCATGTCTTGGCTCAATCCCCGAGCTCACACTTCTGCAGGGATCAGCCCAGGGCTCAGGCTGCCCCCTAACTCTCCTTGCTAACTCAGCCCATCAGCAGATGGTCTTCATTGGCATCTGCTGTGATGGCACCTTAGAGAGAATAGTGACTCACCAATTGTGGGATGCAGTGAAGGAGGCTGCAGAGAGCTGGGCGCCTTCCTACCAAGCCCTCCAGCTGCACATAGAGTGCAGCAGAAATGGTGCACACACATCTCAAAGATGCCCACAGGCTGCAGAGCCCCCTGTGGCTGGTGGGTGATGGCTCCAGGTGATGTCTGCTGCCTCAGACCCAGTGCCCAGCTGTACATGAACATGGTGGGGGTGGGGGTCATGCTGGTTGTGGGGCTCTCACTAGGTTTAATATCCAGGCTCTAGAAGGGTCCCATCTGTGGAGAATCTGGTTTAGCCTTCAGGATGCAGTACGGGGGAACATTGAGCTGTGCCTTTGAGGTGGGTGACATTGATCTACAGCAAAATCTGTAACGAGGCTCCTGTGGGGCCTGACTGTTGCTGAGCCAGCCTGAAATCGGGATTCTTTCTCTAATAGTGCTCTAGGATGCTTTAATCATTTCTGTTTTGATATGAAAAACAGCGAAGCCAGACTAAAGGAGAAAAGAGAAATCAGAAAGAAAGATACTCGAGGTCACAAGAGGCTGGAGGTGACCTGAAGCTATGGCACATGGGGACCCACTGTCCCCCACGCACAGCCTGAGTTAAGCCTTGTCTTCCTGTCTTGCAGGTGGTGCCGGGGATCGGGAGAAGGCGCCTGCTGGCCCCGAGGCGCTCCTGCTCATGGCCAGCTCCCGGAGGGACATGGAGGACTGGGTACAGAGCATCCGCCGGGTCATCTGGGCCCCACGGGGCGGAGGTACTGCCCATAGCTCACGTGCCCACCCTGTAGAACCCTTGCGTGAAGGTAATCTCACCCCCTCCGCCCTTGGCTGCAGCCCTTGCCTCGTGCCTCCTACTCTGTACCAAGTGGGCCCAGCAGGGAGTGTCAGACCTGCTGTGTGAATGCAGACCTTCCCCCGACAGAGTCCCGTGGCCTTCCTAACCTCCTTTCCCTTTCTGGACCCCTGCAGCTCTGCGGGGACCCTGCCCTGCCCCAACACTCATTCTCTGACCCTGCTCTTTACTTGGCTCTTCCTTTATTCAAAAGAGGGATTTTTGTTTGTGTTTTTGCTTTTTGGTGCCTAAAAGGTGCTGGATTCTACTTCAGGCAGTGGGAAATCCATGGTGAGAGGGGCAGCCCATGCCTCTTCCCTCTCTCCTTTTTTTATGTACTATGTCTAGTGACAGCCAGGGGTGAAGACAATGGGAAGCCAGTGAGAGTGCAGCAGGAGGCAGGGGCTGATGCTGGCTTCAGGAAGCACCCAGGGGACCCAGGGCACTCTGGGAAGAGCAGCAGCACAGGGACTGCAGGTGCAAAGGTCCTGAGGTAGGAAGTGAGCTCTGGGGAGACAGAGGTGGCTGGGGCTCAGCCTTGTAGGATTTCAGGGCTGCTGAGCAGGACAGTCAGGACCTCGTCTCATTTATACAAAGCCCTCAGGCCACCAGGTACAAGGTGGCCTCAGAGAGCTCACAAGTGGCCTCAGTAGGCCAGGCCAGTCCTGGTTCAAGTTGCGATGGGGGCATGGCAGGTGGGAATGGAAGGAGCGGTTTGTGGTCAGCTGCAGGTGAATTCCAGGATGGTTTGCCATCCCTGGGAAGTCACCACAAAAGAGCTTCATGGTGGGGTCATTGTGCTGGGGACAGACCTGCTGAGTTGGTCAGCCAGTATACTGGGCCTTTCCTTCACTTGTCACCTGGACAGTCCTCCTCTTCACCCTGACTGCATTTGTCCAGCCCTTTGCCTCTCGAGCACAAGTCAGTGCAGCTGTGACAGCTGCAAGCTGTTCTCCTGGGTTTCAGGACAGGTATCACATGGCAAGCATGGCCTGATGCAGTGGTGTGGGACGACTCCTGCAGCTGTAGACTCCTGCAGCCTCCCCACAGCCAGACTTTGATTCATGACAGGAAGAGAGGCAGTTCTGGGGCACACAACAACATCCTGATCATGGGACAGAGGAAAACGTCTCAAAATGACATAGGAAAGTGCTAATCTTTTAGGAAAAGATTGATCAAGCAAGGCCCAGCAAGATAGCTCAGTGGACTACGTGCCTGCTTAGGCAAGTGCAGAGACAAGAGTTCTGATCTCTGGCACCACATACCATGCAGGCCCTACCCCTGGGTGCGTTGAGCTGACAACCGAGTCCAGGTGTGGTGGCGCACACCTGAAATCCCAGTGCTGGGCATGCTGAAAACAGGAGGAGCACTATGATTCCAAGCTGTGTAGTGAGAACCTGTACCAAATACATTAAAAAAAAGATTGGTGAAGCCCAAAAGGAAGAGGATCTGTTCTCTAGAGGGTAAATTCACAGCTAGAGAAGAGGAGCTGCAGGTTGAGAGATGTGTTTGAGACACAAGCCCATCAAGTGACTCCATCCCCTAAGTCATACAAATTAATATAGCAAAGACACACAAGCCCAGAGAAACGAGGCCACATCCCAGCATAGATACCATTGTCTGACCAGAGATGGGCTCATGGCCTGGCCTCATGTCCACCAAGAAAGTGCAAATTCAGTGCAAATTCACGAAGGGACGCATCTTCTCTCCCAGCTGGATGGCTCTAGGAAGAGGACGAGCAGTTGCAAGTGAGCCCAGGCCCAAGAGCAGCATAGCTATGCAGGGAGAGTGTGACAGTGTGTGGCACCATTGGTGCTGTCCACACTGGGGTCCAGCAATCCCACGGAGGATGTGTCCTGAGGGAGCCCTGTGCACAGCTGTGCAGGGGACACGGACACATCCATGTTCATAGCAGCCTTGTGCGTGGTAACCTTGAGCTTGCCTGGGAACAACAAGGCAAAGAGTATGCAATGAGGATATCACATGGTTTGTCTTCCAAAGAGTAAATAACTTGAAGAAAAAAAAAGATAATAGGAAAAAATACAATAGGAGACACTACAGCAACCCAAAGGAATCTACTGTGTCTCCACCCAGTGGTACGTGTGATATTTCACAACAATGTACTAAAATCTAAACAAACAAACAAAAAATAACGTGTTATATACTTCCATTTATATAAAGTAAATCTAAAAATAAATTTAGGTATTTATAGATAGATAGTTAGGCTGCTGAAATAGAAGGAAAGAAAAAGGAATGGATGCAATAAAACTCAGGATGGCAGGAGGGCAGAGGCCGGGATGGAGTGGGGAAGGGCTCGGGCTGCTGGAAGGCTCTCCTTGTGGTTTGTGTAGCCACCACAAAGTGTGCATTTCACAGTCACAGGGGAATCTGCACATCTGTGCTGTTAGCACTTTCTGGATGTGTGCACATTTCACTATGTAAAAGATCAAAAGGAAAAAAAAGAAGGACAGAAAGAGAAGGGGAGGGAAAGAAGGAAAAGAAGGAAGGGAAGGAAAGGAAGGACGGAGAGAGGGAGGAAGGGAGAGAAAGAAAGAAAGAGATGAAAGAGAGAGAGAGAGAGAGAGAGAGAGAGAGAGAGAGAGAGAGAGAGAGAAAATCCAAGCATCAAAGAGGCCAAGTTCTCTTCCTAAGCACAGGGAGCAGGGAGCAGGGTGACTCTGACTCCCAGCCAGGGCTGGCACCAGCCCCCACAGCAGGTCCTGGGCAGCACCCAGTGGGGTGCAGCTCACAGGCCTGAACATGATGACCATTACTGGGCTCAGTCCAGCCATACATCTGTCTTTTCTCTGCTGGCTCAGAACCAGAAATGCAGGCACAGTCCCAGGAGACCCAGCCTCACCCCTCCCAGGCCATGTGCTGTGCCTTAGGAACTCTTATGGGTGAGACACCACATGGGCCCACAGGTGCTGGCAGCTGGAAGAACTGCAGGGCACTAGGCAGGAGGAGGCCAGGCGAGTCAGGAGAGGCTGGACACTGGTGCAGGCTCAGCCAGCCTCGCAGTTTCCTGGGTCCCCAAGCACAGACCAAGTGTGCAAGCCCTTCCCAGGGGTCTCTAAGCAGGTGGATCTGGGCAGTGAGCAGCCCCTGCCACCACATCTGAGCCTGCTTTCCCCACAGAGGACAGCAGCATGGAGGGCCCCTCCTGGCATCCATCCACTCATTCACTCATCATCTCCTGGGCTGACGGCATTCACAGATATGTTCCAGGCCTGGGATTGGCCTCAGAACCAGAACTGTGCTGACCCTCAGCTGTGAACCGAGGGTCACAGCCTAGCAGAGGAGACCCAGGAGTTCAAAGACTGGGGTTGAAGCTTGGTGACCTCTGGAGGAGGAGGTGGAGGAGAATGATACATGGGTGGTAGCCAGGTGACAGACTGAGGAGCAGCGAGGAAGCTGTGCAGGATGCGTAAGGGACGAGGAGGAGGAGAAGGAGAATCTGCCCAGGGAGTGAAGGGGTCTTGTGGCCATGGTGGTGCTGGGCACTGAAGGCTTCTGCCAGAGAAGGGGTGGACCCTGACTTGGGCTCTGCAAGGTGCCCCCTGGCTGCTGCCTGGCATGATGGCCCCAGGGTGCTTGCCTGGCATGGTTGCTGTGATGGGTAGGTTGTCTGGACAGCCACAGATGTGATTCATCGTGGACCATAAAGAAGCACATCTGTCCCAGATCTGTTCAGCTCCTTAAGTGCTGTAGTGTGGCAGTTGTTTTCACAACATGGGCTTTCCGTTAGGACTTCTCGGTCATTTTCGCATGCCTGTGCATTTTGTAGGAGGGGCTTGAGTGCCCGCTGGTTTTGGGGTCCCTTGTGTTCTTGATTTATTTTCAAGGAAGAACTGGGACTATTTGCTGGCTGGGATGGATGTGGCAAGTGATTGGGAGACATCATGGGCAGTTCCAGGTGATCTGACCAAAGCCCCTGCAAGGAAGCCGGAAGCCCTGAAAGTGCAGTTGTTTGGGAAAGTTGCTGGCACCTTTGAGATGCCTCATCATGGATTCACACAGGCAGGTAGATACTTCAAAGGGCTAGGGCACAGGGAGAATTTGGGGGTCCTAGCACATAGCTAGGGTTTGAAGCTATGAGGCTGGAGAGGGAAGCAAGGGGAGGGACAGCAGAAGATGGAGCTGATCCCTGAGCTGCCAGGGCCGGAAGCCAGGGAGCAAGGGAGGAGCCAGGGAAGCCAGGGTCCGGACCCAGAGGGGTCCCAGAGCTGAGAGCAGAGGGTGCTCTGGGGACCAAGGACAGTGACCAGCAGGCACCCAGAAAAGAGCACGGATCATGTTCTTAGGTGATTGAACAGGTGGTTTATGGTTGTTGGGGTTACAGCCTGCTAATGGTGGTCATGCAAAGCAATCGAGGGGAAGGGACTGTGAGCATAGCCAACTCTTCCAGAAAGCTTGCAGTAAAATGAAGGAGAAATGGGCCAGTAGCTGGGAAGTGTTGGGTACAGATGCAGAAATGTTCAAGGCACTAATACACAGAATCCAGTCGTATACAAGACTATAGGGCTGGGATGGAGCTCAGTGGTAGAGCACTTAATCCGTAACCTGAGAGGAGCTGGGTTTATCCCCAGCAGGACACACACACGCACACACACACACACACACACACACACTCACTCAGATTGAGATTCATCACAGGAGCCCAACAGTGATTTCTTTCTTTCTTTTCTTTTTTTTTCTGTATTTTAGGGAAGGTTCAACAAGGTGTTCAGGTCTCACTACTAGATGGGGCTCATAGTGATCCACCTGTTTACAGCCTCCCAAGAGCTGGGATTACAGGCATGCACCACCACGCCTCATCTCAGTCTCATCTCAATTGAGACTGAGATGGCAGTCTCAATTGCCATCTCAGTGTGCCCCAGGGGCAGGGCTAGCATGGCAAGCCCAGGGATCGAACCTCAGCCT